GCTTGCCGGTGTATGTACCAGCTTTTAAGATTACTAGCATTTAAGATGTGTGTAATAGATTGTGAGACTACAATTAGTATATATTTTTAAAGATTTTAATCATTCACTTTTAAAGGGAATGGAATGGGGGGAGAAAGAGAGAGAAACATCAATGTGCGAGAAATACGTGGATCAGTTAGTTGCCTCTTGCACACCCCCAACTGGGGGCCTGGCCCGCCACCCCAGCATGTGCCCTCAGTGGGAATTGAACCAGCAGCCTTTCAGTTTGCAGTCCAGCGCTCAGTCCACTGAACCACACCAGCCAGGACAATGTGTTTTCGTTCTGTATAGTTTTGTGGAGTTTCTTACTCCCATTTTTTGCGTGCTCCTCTTTAAGGGGGCAAAGATTGTTTTTTTACGAACATACCTTTTATTTTGAGTCTTTCCTCTTTTTCTCATGACAGCTTTGAGATGCAATTCACGTGCCACATAAAATCCACCCTTTTAAACTATATAATTTCATGGTGTTTAGTATAGTCCTGGAATGCAACTATCACCACTGTCTAATTCCTGAATGTTTTCATCACCTCAGAGAGAAACCCTGTACCCTTTGGCTGTCACTGCTCATTCCCTCCGTTCCCCATCTCCCATGACTTCCAAGTCACTGGCAACTACTACTTTCTATCTGTATGGATTTGCCTGTTCTGGACACTTCATATAAACAGAATCATATGAGAGGTGACTTTTTGTGCCTGCCAACTTTGAGTTGGCATTATGTTTTTAAGGTTCATCCAGGTGGTTGTGTGTGTCAGTAGTGTGTTCCTTTTTTGTGGCCACTGCCTTCTCATCGTGTGCTCACACGGCCTTTCCTCAGTGCAGGAGTGTGGAGAGAGTGCGCTGTGGTCTCTCCTTTTTTGAGGGCATTAATTTCATTATGGGGCCCTACCCTCATGACCTCATCCAAGCCTAATTATCCGTCTGAAGCTCCAGTTCCTAATGTCATCCACATTGGTGCTTAGAGCTTCCACATAATGAATTTTGAGGGGACACAAATGTTCAGTCCATAGCAACCTCTGTTACTTTTTTTTATTGTGGTTAAAAAACATTACTTCTGCCCTGGCTGGTGTAGCTCAGTGGATTGAGCGCAGGCCTGCAAACCACACGATTGTGGTTTGATTCCCAGTCAGGGCACATGCCTGGGTTGCAGGCCAGTTCCCAGCAGGGGACACATGGGAGGCAACCATACATTGATGTTTCACTCCCTCTCTCCTTCCCCCCTTCCTCTCTAAAGATAAATAAATAAAGTCTTTAAAAAAAACATTACTTCCATTGTAATTATTTCTAAGTATATAGTTCAGTGGTTTCAAGGTTAGTCATACTGTTGTGCAACCAGTCTGCAGAGCTTTTTCATCTGGCAAAACTGAGACTCTGTACCCGTTAAAGAACAACTCCCGGTTTTCACCTTCCCCAGTTCCTGGCAGCCACCACTTTACTTTCTGTTCCTATGAATTTGGTGGCTGCACAGGAAGGTTACACAGGATGGTCGCCTGATCTGAAAGAGCACAGGTTCTTTTACCCTCATACCATTGGCTAGACCTAGCTTTACAGCACTGCTTGACTGTAAAGGGGGGTCGGGGATATAATCTTGCTCTGTTCCCAAGGGAAAGGGAAGTAAGTTTTGGTGAACATAGAGCAGCTACTACCACAGCCTAGAGGTAAATTTGGAAGTGATGGGGTGCAGGTGATTACAGCCATGAGTGTGGATGGGATCACCCCACAGAGGGTGTAAGAGAGACAGTCACAGACACAAGGGCACTTTCTCAGAGGGCCAGTAATGCTAAAAATAATGTATGCCATCTAACTACAATATTTTGAAAAGTTACTGCTATGTTTATAGGAGAGTTAACCCATGTAGATTCAAAATGGAAAAGTAGCTTTTTGAGAGACTGGAATGTTTCCAGTTCATGTTAACCAGAAAAAGTATATACTGGCAGGATTACTTTATGACTGTTGAAGCTTTTAACTATAAAGTCATCCTGAATTTGATACTAAACTAAGGAAAGGTTTATTTTTTTGTTTGTTACTTACTTGGTGCATGTTTATTGACCATTTAATATGTGACAGGCAGTGTGAGTTTTGTATTGTAACACTAAATTTAATAGGAAAGAATTGTGGTGAGTAAATAAATGTATGAAACAGCAGGCAGAATCTTTAGGATCACAGAAACTGCTTATCTAAAATGTTTTACCCCTGAGCTAGCAGTCTGGACGTGAGAGACGTCGGGTTTGAAGCTGAACAGATCTGGGTTTGACTCTCAGCTCCGCTGCTTGCTCTCTGTGACCTTGGGAGAGTTATTCACATCTCTGGAATTCTGGCTTCATTGATTGCTAAATTGTTGCTAATAATACTATCTGCCTTTGGGTGGCTTTGTAGATTAGGAATATTATATGTACATAAAGCCTAACACAGTGTTTGGTATTATGTATGTATATAATTATTATAATTATTATTGTCATTATTATTGAAGAAGATGGAGCTCATATTGGTTTGGAAAAATGACCATCACCTTACACTAATTTGTGAGTTTATCACTGAGTAGTTATTTAGTGAGCCATTACTCTGCATGAAGTACTTAGGATTGGACTGTGTCTTTATGCCTGTGTTTTTAAAAGCATCACTCAGTTTTTACCGCAGTAATGTTTGTATCACAGGTCTGCTACCACCAGTCTAATGTACTGTCTTCCCTGCTTTCAAATGACCAGAAACCTTCCCGCCCTTCCTGGCACTCTTCTCACCCTCTTTCTTTGCTGCTGGCAGCTGCCTGACTTACTGTCCTGCTGGATCTCCACTTCCCCTGCCCACCCCTCTATTTTTCACTGATTGCAATTCCACTGATGCTCCTTGGGCAGCCATTTTACTTTACACATAATTTTTCCTTAGCCCTCTTCCTTAAGCTTATTATTTTAATTTTTTTACAGTTACCACAGGAATAATTTACCATTGTCTTTCTCTTTTTGCTAGTTCATTCTCCTTCTCACACCATGGGCTGCTTTAATGTCATATACCTTGCAGATACCCAGGACTCTCCCCAGAAGTTTCTCTCTGCTGACGCTCATGCTGACGCACCATCGCTGCATATGCACTGTCTGCAGGCCTTGTGTCCCCTGCCTCCAGCAGTTCTGCACACTAACGGGGGACAGAGACTGGCTGACACCTTTCAGAATTCCCAGTACAGCCCTTTGCATGTGGGAAGTGGCTTATAAAGATCTGTTGACCAGAAAGGAAGAACAATCAATTATTTTTACCTGACAATGAAGTAATTTTTTAAAATGTATTTTATATAAAATTTTATTTTGTTTCAATGCCAGTATGGCAGCAATATTTCTTTTTTCAGATAGATGCAAACAGCTTCACTTACATATGGATTAAATTTGCTTTTGTGAGATGAGTTAGGATTCACTTACTACATTATTTTTATGGCAAAGTGGATTCTGCCTTTACAAAACCATTTTGGCACATAAATTATAAGATGTGATCTATCTGTTCAGAATTTTTATCTTTCAGTAATTTTTCTTAAAAGGAGATTTAGTTTTCAGTGAAAGTATTTTGTCTTTGTCTTCTTTAATGGGCATCTTCTTGTGCCACTTACCACCGACTAAGATTCTCAAACTTTTCCAGTCCTAGGGCACGAGGTAATTAGTACAGCCAACTGGAAATAGATCAGGGATTAATAAATGTAGCACATGTTGGCTGACGCCCCAGGGCTATGACTGCTGAGAAGCAGACATGCCACTATAGTTAAAAACAAGTTTGTAGAGGAAGAATTTTACATTCATTATTGTCAGCGAACATGCCATATTATCTTGAGGACTTGGCCATCATTAGTAAGTTTAAAAGCAGTAACTTACAAGTCAGTACCCCACCTGTGCTGCCACTGCCCCATTTAGTACTTTCAGCGCCTCTTCCTGGACCATTGCCCCCACCCCTCCAGGTGTCTGTCCTTGGCCCCCCGCATCTGACCCACCCACTGTTTCCAGTCGCCTTCAGTCTTCCCTCTGCTGTTGCTCCTCATACACTTGGTGTGAATCAGCCTTTATCTGTCTTGATGTCCCCTACTTCCTTTCCCCCTCTCTTCTTCCCTCCCTTCATCTCTGTGTCTTTTTTTTAGTTCTTTCACTTTCAGAAAAAAATCAAAGTGAACATGCAGTTTTTGCTTCAACCACTCAAAATTCTCCAAAATCACCCTCACCTTCCACCTTCCACCTTCCCCATGAATATATGTACACATGCACATGCACGTGTATATATATCCATGTTTTTTAAAAGATTTTATTTATTTATTTTTAGGGGGAAAGGGAGGGAGAAAGAGAAGGAGCAAAACATTGATGTGTGAGTGAAACATTGATTGGTTGCCTCTCACACACTCCCAGCCGAGGACTGGCCTACAACCCAGCCATGTGCCTTGACTGGGAATCGAACCAGCAACAACATTTCAGTTTGTGGGAGGGTGCTCACCCCACTGAGCCCCACCAGTCAGGGCAGTATCTCCACTTTCAAAAGTCCACATGTCATAAAGGTACCTGTTCAAAAGCAACTTTGTAATGTTTTTCTGGTCATCTCTTCCATCCACATTGATGAGTATACATCATCTTTACTCCTGGCACCTTTATACTTGCACTTACCATATTCTGCCTTGTGTTACCATTATAGTGGTTTGAAAGCTCTTAAAAGCAATGTCCACGTTTGGTTGATTTTTATACCTCCTAGCACCCCACAGACAGATCTGCTCATAGTCATAAAAAGTGTTTATGAATACTTCTTTCTCTATAAGATAGGCTAGTGTAAATGTACTTTGTTGAACTTGGTGTTTGTGATGCCTCCTTGCATCATTACACATTCTCTTTTACAGGAATTTCTTTACATTTTCAAGGTGCAAGAGCAGCCCCTTTTCATTAACGAGTTTAATCTTGCTTTTTATTTGAATCTCAACATTCAGTGAATGATACCCTCTCTGTTGATAGCCTGGTGTGCAAGCTGAACACAAGGACCACCATCCTGGCAGCAACTAACCCCAAAGGCCAGTACGACCCCCACGAGTCTGTGTCTGTGAACATTGCCCTCAGCAGCCCACTCTTAAGTCGATTTGACCTGATCCTGGTTTTGCTTGATACCAAGAATGAAGACTGGGATCGTATCATTTCTTCCTTTATCTTAGAAAACAAAGGTATGTGAAGACAAATTATTCAAACTGAAAAAGCAAGAAAATAGACATAACCAAATGAAATTTTCTTTGAAGAAAACTAAATAAATTTAATTTATTAAATTTATACCAGGGTACCCTACCTACCAGGAACAGAAAGATGCTTAGACTGAAAAGGAGTGAGAGGAGCCAGTAAACCCAGAACAATCAGAGAGTAAAGGGCTTTTCTCTGTGTGCCCCTGATGAGATTATAGTTGTGAATATGTTTTCATGGTGAAAGGGGACAATCTTATATAATTATTACTCCCTGAATGCAAGAGGAACCTTGTGATAATATACTTGTTACTTACTTCTTATGAGAAAAACTGGACTGAATTATGAAACACAAATTAAATATGGTTTGTCTTTAAATTAAATTTGATTTCTCAAGTATTATTTTAAAACATGGGGCAGACCAGAATTATTCTGACTAATTTTAACCCCTGTAGGAAGCTCACCTTTATTAAACTTGGACCCTAACACTGTTCTAGAACTATATGCTGCACAGAGACAGGCCTAGGTTTCAGTGGCCACAAAACCTAAGTGTTACCTTTTTTAAAATGAGTGCAAGAATAGATAAAAAACTGTACTTGAGAAATAACTAAATAAAATTTAAAAAAAAACGAGTGCAAGAACTTTATCAAAAGCCTTAGAATGAGATGTTTGCCTCTTGTGGCAATTTTTACTCACCCAGTACCTGATATGTACAGGTTACCCAAGCAAATCAGAGAAGCTCTGGAGCATGGAGAAGATGAAAACCTACTTCTGCCTCATTAGGAGTCTTCAGCCCACGCTGTCCGAAGCGGGTAACCAGGTGCTCCTCCGGTACTACCAGATGCAGAGGCAGAGTGATTCCCGGAACGCTGCCCGGACAACCATCCGCCTGTTGGAGAGCCTGATACGATTAGCAGAAGGTTATTTCATTCGACAGATGAACTTTTTATTGGGTACCCGATTTGTACAAGGCGTGGGGGTTGGCACCATGAATTCAGAGATGAATAAGAATAATTTCTATTCTAAGGTGCTCACGGTTGCTTATTCAAGTAAAGGCTCTGAGCTATGAAACCTCCACTCTTCTGGGGACACTTATGGGTGTTAAGTGAAGTGTAGTGTCATTAAGAAAGAGGAACCTTTGTGATATCTCAGGACCTCCTAAAACTTAAGATGTCATCTATCTGGAAAGTCTTAGTTACTGTGTTTTGTTTCTCAGTGGCGGTCTATTAGTATTTGGGGTTCAATACTGCCTTGTTTGGAAGTGTTTCCTGTATAGCAAACCGCCACTGACATCATAACACCAAATTGCCCTGTCCTATCCCCAAGGTGTGAGAGTTTCCTGCTAGCATACAGCTTACATGCATCTCAAATCTTTTTTCCCCCTGTAAGAGCATTGGCTTTTACAGTTAGCCCTTGTTTAAATAATTCAAAAAATTTTGACATGAACTGACTGTACCATATGATGACATAATATATGCTTAATAAAAAGTTCTATAAAACAGATACACTTCACTTTCTAAGGATTTATAGCTAATATTAGGGCAAAAAAATACCCAAATTTTGCATTCAGGAGTTGGGTAGTTTTGAAAAGCTCACAGATAAAGAAAAGGGCCTGAGATGAGAAATGAGTTTAATTTTGTATGTTTCTATAATAGACTCGAAACTGAGGATTTAAATTGTTGAATATTAAATATATGCTTATATATTTAAGCATATATCCCTTTCTTTTCTGGAGCCCAAATACTTTTTTGTATAAATTACACAGAATTGCCATGGGCAATGCAGAAGGATTAGGCCCTTTATTGGAGGAATAACCCTAAAGCAAGTTAAACTTAGACTTTTGTACTTATTCTGATAAAATTAATTTGTTATTAGTAGCTCATTTAGAATATACAATTCTTTTGGAGGAGGATCAGGTAGAATATTACATATATCACCTCAAATATGTATTTAAAGTTTTTCTATCTTTATAATTTTAAATGCATCTTATTTTCTTAGCTCACGCTCGCCTGATGTTTCGTGACACTGTGACTCTGGAAGATGCTATTACAGTTGTGTCAGTAATGGAGTCCTCAATGCAGGTGAGGACAAATATTTGTACTAATATTTGAATTGTAATTATAAGCAGTAAATAAAATTGTACATCAGGAGTTACTAAAATGATCATGATCTAGACCTCATATTTCCTGGAAATATATCCAAAGGAAACCATTTAAAAAAAGGAAAAAATTGTCATAGAAACATTCTCTGCATCAGTAGCATTGCTTTTGCCCATCTGTGTAAAGTAGTGGGTCTCAGTCCTTTTCTCCATCACACCTAAGGGATGCTCATGGTCCCACCAGTGAGAACATGGCTTCCTAGAGCAATGCTTGCCAGCAAGTATAGGGGAAAAAGACTACTGAAATTTAAAAAAGGCCTCCAGGTGATTCTGATTTCAAGGTGGGGTGTGAAGGGCTGGTCTAAACCATCTGGGATCAGTGGTCCCAAGTGTGTACCTGTTGTATGCAGGCTGGCCTGGTAACTCTCCCTGGTCTTTTCCATTTCTCACACCTTCAGGGAGGCGCGCTGCTGGGAGGTGTGAATGCACTCCACACCTCCTTTCCTGAAAACCCTATGGAGCAGTACCAGAGGCAGTGTGAACTTATTCTAGAAAGACTTGAGCTGCACAACCTCCTGAGTGAAGAGCTAAGAAGACTTGAAAGGTAAGAAAAGAAAACCAGGAAAGGCATATGATGGAAAATCTTTATTTGGCATTTTTGAAACAAAGGAAGTATAAATTAAGCAGAAAACCTGTCTGTGCTATCTGTAGGGGATTGTTTCAGCTATCCATTTGGGGTAGCTATATAATCAGCTACCCCAAAACACAGTGACTGAAAGAAATACTACCCCCATTCTAGTGCTCCCTTTTCTGATAGTCAGAAATTAAGAGGCTTATGGGGATGGCTTATTTCCACATTGTGGGGTTACTCGTATACCTGCTTTTAACTGGGAGGACAGCTGGGATTGGCACTCCAGGATGGCTTACATCACGTGTGTGGTGTTTGTGCTCAGGTGGCTTAAATGGCTGGGGGCTGGCCAGTTGGGCTCTCCTTGCTATAGGGTAGTCAGAATTCTACCACAGTAGCTTAGGACTCCAGTACAGCAAGAGTAGGAGTTGCTAGGCCTCTTGTGGGCTGGACCAGGACTGGAACAGCATCACTTCTGACACATTCTATAGGTCAGAGCAAGTCACAAGGTCAGCACGCAGGCAAAGCAGAGGGAAATGAACACCACCTGTTGGTGGGAGATGTGGCACAGACACACGGGAATGGGGGAATTGATGGTTGCCATCTTTGGAGACCACCTTTCAAAGCTACATTTGTTTGATTTGCTAGTTTTGTGAACTTCATGGAAAACACTGACAGGCTCATTACTATATGTAGTAAGCTATATATAATTTTACTATACATAGTAAAATTTATAGCAGTGGGTCTCAATTACATGAGAAGCACCAAAGTAAGCTACCTACAGTTCATACCCAAGATGCACAGTTGCTGTGGAATCAAGACACCGTGGTGAATGGGCTTTATCAGAATGTTCGCTCCTACTACTTCCTCTTCTCGTTCTTTGGCTCCCTGTAGGAAGTGGAGTGGTGCCATTCAGAGAGGTGGCTGGGGCTGCTGTTAAGAAAGAGGGACCTGGACTCCAGGAGCGGTCTGCCCCAGGCCAGACCCAAACACGAAATACCTACTTGGCCTCACCATTTTTCCTCACTAGGAAAGATATGTTCAAGGGAGTTTACATAAAGAATTTTAGTGTTTATTAATATTTTAATTTTATTCTTATTGTTTTTAAAGCTTTCTTCCAAACATAATAGATATTTGATCATTAGTCCTTATATAACCCTGGTAAGAGAAATTCACAGGTAGAAGGCTGGTTTGGGGCCAGCCTAAGCTAGCGTTCTGGGCAAGTCACAGAAATAGAGATAGCTAGTACTGACCATCAGCTGGGAAGGGCCCTCCTGTTTCCTGAGCCGGCAGTTTTTCTTTCCTGCATGCCCAAGTTCATGCCTTTTAAAATGGCACATATTTAATAGACTAAAAAAATTACCAGTGAGAATGATGTATTTTATGTTAAAGAGGGAAATCTTTCTACAGAGTAACAACTCAGGGAGGACAAAGGAATGTTTCAAAACTCACCTTTCCAAGGATTTGTCAAAACAGGGACATAAGCCAAGGATTGTGTCATATGCATTACCCGAGGAATTTGTTGCTGGAAACTGAATGTTTGCATGTGCCTAAAAATGTGAGCTTCTAAAATCCTAGACTCCAAGTCTGTGCCTGTGAAACAGGAATGAGGAACAGCAAGTGTGTATCCATTTGGGTAGCATCCTGATCAGCAAGTGGCTGAATAATTGACCTGAGCCTGGTCAGTGGTGTTGATCTCAAAGCTGCAGTCTGGTGAATGGAGCGCATGTGTAAGTGGAGCAGCTGCAGGGGGATGTGGCGGCCACATTGGAACTGTGGACTGGCATTTTCTCCCATTCACTCACTCACTCTTCCAGCACCATTCTCTCTCCAATTTATAAACCTCAGCACAGCCTTCCTAGGCAAGTGTGGGGCTGGCTTTGTCCTACTAATACACCAGGTGCCAGCCTGCATTAAACTTGCACTTTTTATAAAATCAATCCACTTTCTTTTGGTCTCCCTTTTTTTTTATGACTGAGAGTATGGTGTTAAGATCAAAGCTCTTCCTTTGGTTCAGTGTAGCAGATCCTCTCCAGCCTGCCCTGGGCTTAGCTTTGCTTTGGGAAACACTGCTGATTTTGACTGATCAGACACTGATCGTTTTTGACTACCAAAAACATGCTGGATTCAGGAAGGGAAGGAATGTGAAGCTGAGGATCAGTGTTATGTGACAGAGAAGTAGCAATTGGACTTAACTAAATTCAGAATGACTCTCCTACAAGGAAGAAAGAAAAAAGAGTAGGTGATGATCTAAAAGGTAGGATTCTGCCTTAAGATGTTCTTTTCTTCTGATTTTACTGTGTAATGCAGAGGCCTGTTGGGTATTGATCCTCACAGCAACAAAACCTGGGGCCCCGAGAATGAAAGTGAATTACCTCCAGAACACAGTCTAAAGCTGATCTTAACAAGTGAGAAAGCCCCAAGTAGCACATGGGTTTATCCCCTTAGGAAAGAGTTCTCTATTCCTTAAGAACATACATATCGGTCATAAAACTATTTGTATTTTTATCACGCTTTTCTTCTGGAAAATGCTTTTAGTGACATCCTTCCTCAAATGGTGGCCATTGTACCCACCTCAAATCAGAATGCAAAGATACTGGCTTTTATGAAATTATAGTAAAACTACAGACATTTTTATGTAGGGGAAAATTTAGTTCTCAAAGTCAGAATTACACTAAAATAGTGAGCTAAATTATTATTATATCCCTGAAAATTATCTTCTTTTAAGACATTGTTAGAGAGCGTTAATAATTATTAGTATCCGTGACCTCAGTTTGCTGCTGAAAGCGTACCAGGTAGTAGTAATTTTGAAATCTACTTTTTTTTTTGGTTGGTTGGTTGGTTGTGACTGTAGTGAACATGAATTTGCTATATCAGTGTTTCCAAATTCAGCAAGTGTGAATATAACCTAATATTTACACAATAAAATGTTTTTCTCGATAGTAAAAGGTGATATATGTTCTTTATAGAATATTTTGAAAAGTGACAGTAATGAATTAATAAGGACACAAAAATCACATGTAATCTTATTTCCCAGAGAGATCTGCCATTAACACTTCAATGTATTTAGTATTTTTAAATTTAAAATTTATTTAAATTTATGTATTTTCTTCTATTTTCTGTCTTTGTACATGTTTTCAGAATAATTTATTCATCTGCTTTTTGGTGTAATTCCCTTTCAGATTTAGTACATGGAAGCAGGGTCATGTTGCCCCTGATTCTGAAAAGGCAGCTCTAGGTTATTAGAAAGGGCTTTCTAATGGACTTGCTCTTGGGAAACTGCAGTCTCTGTTAGAAATCGAGCCTCTGGCTTGAATTCTATTTCTAATATGCACAAGATTTAAAATGGATATCACTGATCAGATCGTTCAGGGAGGGTCAGTAGGTTTTGACGCATGTCAACTTGGACAGTAGCTGCCCAAAACACATTTGAAACACAGCTGGGCTTTGCAGGAGCGATGCCACAGTTGTCTGGGAAAGGTCTGCCATGAATGCGAATGTGGGAGCCATGGGCGCGGAGGAATCACAGCCTCTTTACTCCTCAGGAAGGTGAGTTTTGGCTGCACTAACTTCAGTTACCTCAGTTAGGTAAAGAGATGTGAGAAGTCATAACTTCTGGTTTTTCACTTTTGTTCTGATCTGCGAACTTGCTTGGTGGGTCTAGCTGCTAGACCCACCTTCTCGATCACCAATAAGCTACTGCGCCAATGGCTAAAAGTCTGTCTTGTAGTTACACGTTTAACACGAGATATACTGAGCATTTGACACTGACTTTCAAACAATCTTACATGAATTAAATGGACTTTTAGGGAGAAGGAAAATGTAGACAAACCCACTACTTCATTTTCTTTATTTTATATCACTTCAGGGTCAAATCAGAATGATTTTCAGATCACTTCAGCTCTATTCTGATGAAAAAGGATAATTTCTTTTTGCTGTTCTTAGAGGCTGTATTTGGTAGTAACCTGGAATTATGTTGATGTTAACCCTTTAGATGACATCTCAGACACTGAGGAAATGAAAAGGTTAAAAAAAAAAATTCCTTCCCTTCCCAATACATATTTTCCTTATTTCTGCTATAGGTTACAGAATGAGGGTGTGTACCAACCCCAGCCAAGGGCAGTGGAGGCAGAGTCTGCTCCAGGGTCCTCGAGAAATGATCCAGGGGAAGAATCCAGACTCAGAATGTCAACACAGCAAGAAGTGAATTGTAGCGCACACACCTCTTATACTGGAGGCAGTCCCAGGGGAAGTCTGCTTCTTGATCCCCTACCTCATCTGGGGCCTAATAGGCCAACAAGCAGGAAGTATTCAGCTCAGCACAAAGAGGGCAGAGACAATGGTTTGGATTGGTTTGACTCCATGGAAACTCATCAAATTGAACCCAAAAACTCTGTTCCTGTGTCTCCTGGTCTCAGAACAACTGGCGGGGAAATGGCTTTGAAAAACTCCAACAGATCTCAGGGTAAGAAAAAGAGTGAGCCAGTCCAAAGGAGTGGATTGGAAACTGGACAGCCTCCAGCACCAGGAGAGACAGAAGCTCCCTTGAGGCCAGAGAGTGTTGAGGGGAAAAAGGAAGAAAGGGCAGCAGTAGTTGCTGAAACAACAGGAACTGCTGGGGAACCAGACTCAGTACTGACTCACCACGTCCCCAGGAGACTGCACAGGCTGCGCAAGGAGAGGGCCCAGGAGCTGTGCAGAAACCCCACCAGGGCGCCTTCCCAGACCACAAGCCCTTCTCATCTTCCATCCACTCCTGTACATAGCCCAGAAAGGATGCTGGAAACCCCCAGAAGAAAGAGACAGAAACCCCTCCCTCAGGTGAAAGAGCCTGAACCTGAAAGTGTTGAAAGTCCAGGTCCCCCTGTGGCCAAACTAGCAAAATTTACTTTCAAACACAAGTCAAAACTGATCCACTCCCCTGAAGGCTACAGCTGCGTGTCTCCTCGTACAACTGACGTAGCAGTTCAAAGACTGAAAATTCCCCAGCATGGAACAAGAGGAGAAGCAGCTCTGCTGGTGAAGAAGGGTCCAGAAAAGTTGGCCTCCACCTCAGGAAGTGGAAGAAGCTCAGACCAGCTGCAGGGGAGGGCAACACAGGTGTCGCAGCAGCCACCAGAGAAAGATGGATCAAGAGAGGAGAGGGAACATGCCTCTGGAGAGAGAGCTAGACAGCCTGAGTCTGAGCTTCAGAATGAGACTGGGCATCTGCATCCTACTTGTGAAAGAGACAAAAAGGAAACGTTTTCATGCAATAATAAAAGCAGCAAGGTTCATGCTTACACATTAGCTAAACTGGCCAACTTCTCCTTTACCTCCCCCTCCGAATCTAAATCAGAACCCCTGCCTCCTTCTGAAAGTGAGAACTGGCGAGGGAGAGACCCAAGCTCTCCTCCCAAAGCCACAGCTACAGTGCTTGGCAGGAAAAGGAAAACTTTTCAGTTAGAGGGGTCCGCTGAGAGATTCAGTCTTTGCAAAAAATCTCTCTTTACTCTACCAGAACTAGAAGATGAATCATTAGATTTTGATTGGGATGAAGAAATGAGAAAAAAGCCATAATCATGAAAAGCTTGCGGGTCAAATTCCATCCTCCCCAACTCAGCACAGCACCTTTAGGACATCACCATGGTCTCTGTGTATGTACAGAACTGTGGGTTGTATTGAGTGTCTTTCTGAGAACCAGCTCCCCCATCAGGTTTTGTAATAATTCCAGGTTATTATTTTTGAGTTCATGACTCAAAAAGTCGTTTAATCAGTGTCGGTCAGTGTGATAGTAGCATTTGAATTAATTGTGCATAATTTTGCAGATGGAGTACTTGCATTCCTGGAGATGTTTCTGTTTGTTTTGTTTTTAAGGAGTGTGTCTTCCTAGGATTTCATCCTCCATCCTCTCAGGAACAAATGTCAGGAAGGTAGCATTCCTAGAGCTAACAAGTTAGATGAATTCTTCTATTTTTTTTTTTTTTTTACCCCATCATGTGTCAAGTGTGGTGAGTACTTATGATTTGACAAAATCATATGATTTTTCTAGTATTGTTTTTGTGCTTACTATGTATAAGATTTAAGGTGACTAAGGCATTTTTTTCTTTGAGAGGCATCCTAACAATTCCATTGTATTCCTGAAGATCTGGCAATTGGTCAAATATTCTGAAGTCTCGACATTTAGAGTTCTTCTTTCTTTCTCCAGTCAACATTTTGTGCTTCAGATTCTTTTTCTCTTTTGGGGGCCTTCTTCAACACAAGTTCAGTCCTGTTGGAAGGAAAGAGAGTGTGCAGTGGTCTCAGTCATGTATCATGGTTTGTACCCGAGTAGTTAATATGGAGATGTGATTCCTACTGTTATCACTCATGTGCCTTTAAAACCAGGCAAATGACTGTGTGCGGTAGTAAAAGACAGCTCAAGCTCTGTCTTTCAATCACCCTTCCTTTGGATTCTAGCAGGGACTCTTGAATCCATAATTACAGGATTTATTTTTCTGAAGTATGAAATTACAAAAAAAATTATTTTATTGAGAGACTATAGATGTGAAGAGTACTCAAATTTATATGTACTTTATATAATGACCATTTCATTAAATTTATACAGAAAAAATTAGACACCCTTTTTTGAGCATTTATTTAAACATTAATTGCAAAATCAACTGATTAAATTTACTGAAAAGTTTATTAGTACAAATGTAGTATGGATGAGTCTTTGGAAATCTAAACACCTTGAACGACTGGTGAAAGACATCATTAGCAGTTTTCATAAAATTTATTATTGTGTGTTCACTTAAACCTATTCTGAAACCTCAAGACTATGGTTTTGATAATGTCTTTGTTATTTCTGTACTTAATAACTTCCTAGTGTGGTATGATTCTTAATGTGGTATAGTCTAGTCTTTCAGCATTAGTACTTTCCTGGGCTTCAGCATTTTACTAAAACTAAAGGAAAAGGAAAGTAACTGGGTTATTGACCAGTAAGTTCATTCTTGGTCTGGACTCAGTCTAATTGTGTAGACGAGGGAGTGATTCAAACCCAAGCCACAATGTCAAGCTGCCTTTCAAATCCCTTTCTTATAAATTTTTGTCTTTGCAACTTGGTATCTTATGCAGTAATGATGTATTAAGCTCTACATGGCTGACAGCATATAACCTATTAGCTTATCATTTACGGTATTTTTATCTTTGTTTATTTGTTTGTTTGTCTTACCATTTAAAATGGTTGTATCCTTTATTGAGAATCTTGATTTTAGAGCTTTTATTTCTTAGTAATGAGGGATTTGGTTTATGCAGTTAACTTGTCTCTTCAGGACATTGAGTAATTTATCTTTTAAAATACAGTGCTGAATTGTCTCTCTTAAGTTATTGTGTGAGACCACCATGTCCCCTTCTCCCTGGTTATTATTTGTACTCACCATGCATCCTATTATTTATGCTAAGAAAGCCACCCTGTTTTTTATTCTAGTAACTTCTGCCAGGATCATTTGGCCAAGTAACAAGTTCCATGTGCCAACTATATATGTAAATATTATAGACAGACATAATTACTAGAATTGATAAATATTCAGTATGAACCCTCCCCTACTAACTAAAAAATTAAACTTGTATCACAGCCTACTTTTGTGTTATTACTACCTTGTTGTGCTTGTATTTGGTGCTCAAAGTCTCACAACAGGAAGTCCCTTTATGTAATGCCAATATTCTTTTATGGCTGACATTTCTAAAAGCATCCATGCTATCTGTTCTAGCCCCGGTTTGATATTTTTCCCTGCCTCGGGTCATAGAATCCACTACCCCTCGGCACCGTATTTCCTTTAGATGCTAATGGTGCTATAGGCCAGACTGTAGTTTCACAGCTAAGACTGTCTTTTCCATGCTATTTAATGTGTGTGCCAAAGTAGCACATAGGTGTCTCAGGAAATATCTACAGTCTCAGAAATCACATTTCTGACCAATAAAGGAAAGTGTCAGAAAATATTTAATTCTGAACCAACATGTCATGATATTTTTATTTCAGAGCAGTGGATGGACTCCTTAGAAACATTTTAGTAATGTAAAATTATTTAAACACAATAAAAGCTAGTTTTCTTTGTGAGAAGACCAAACCCGATATTTCATTTCATTATAAATATATAAAAGATTGAGTTTTCTTTTTTTTAATTTCTTTTTTATTTTTTATTTTTTTAAACATTTTAGTTATTTTTAGAGAGAGGGGAAGGGAAGGAGAAAGAGAGGGAGAGAAATCTCAACATGTGATTGCCTCTCTTATAACCCCCACTGGGGACTTGGCCCTCAACCCAGGCAGGCATGTGCGCTGACTGGGAATCGAACCAGTTGACCCTTTGCTTCACAGACCAGTGCTCAATCCACTGAGCCACACTAGCCTGGGCAAAAATTGAATTTTCTGACACTGTAAAAGATACATGCTTCAGTGTATATGTGGTATTCTTAAAATTTATAACAGGGATTTATTATTGTAATTTTAGGGTTTCTTTAAAATGTAGACAAAACAGGCGTATTATTCTGGTATCTTTAACTTGGGCCAAATTCAACCAAAGCTGAAAATTTTTTTGAAGATGTACCAGAACTTTAATAAGAGAGATCTATTCTTGGTTGACAAATTTTAATTCCGGCAAATCTACATATTCTTTATGTGTATATTGTACTTCATTTCTATGCCTTTCCCAAGTGCTAAACCTGCCTACCTGGTAGAATTACTAGAAAACCAGTTCTGGGGAAAAATCTTCAGAGCTCACTTCTAGCCAGTGCACCTCACTGAGGAGTTCAGACAAACTTACCCTAAAAGTCTAGATAGGTCAGCAGGGACTGCCCTGACACCAGGTTAGTCTTTCATATGCAGCTTATCAGACAAGCTAGTTCCAAATTTAACAAACTCGTGATGTGGAACGGTAGGCCACTGCATGTTCCCCAGTGTTCAGAACAACACCTCTCGTGTGTTCTTTCCATATTGTTAACATTCAGAAGAGATAAAAGAAGGTCCCGGCTCACCTTAATACTCCTTCCAGCAGGGATTTTGCTACCTGTGTCCCATCTTGCGGGTGGCACAGTGCCCCAGGTGTACGGGGAGCTGTTCCCCACACCTGTCACAGTCACTCAGAGTTCATGCAGGGAACGCGTCCCCTGCCACCACGAGGACATGCACAGGAAGCTCTGGTAGCGGTCCCCCATGGTGCCCTCTTTAGTTCTTTGAGCAGTTCCACTGTCTTCCCTCATCAAGGTTTAAAAATATGCCCAAAGGTAAAATATTTGTAAAAGTGAACTCAAGTGTTAAATTCGACTTAACTGATGATACGAGTATGTGAATGCTGCAGTGTGAGCCAAAAAGGAAAACCCGCCGGGCCTGATCTCGCCAAGAAGTAGGCTGTAGCTTACTCCTCTTGTGAGCACCAATGGCTTTTATGCCCCTCTTTGTGTTTGGTTGGAACCTTAAGTGTTGGCCGAGTACAGCCACCAGAAAGCAAGCGTTTGAATCAGATGCATTTTTTGATGGGACAAACTTGGTCGAATTTAGGATTTTTGTAATAAACCACGCCGTATTTGAAATAGCTTGCTCAAGATTTCTGATCTGTGTTTCAGTGCCTGCTGATGCATTAAGGAGACCAGGTGGCACAGCAAAATTGGGAATCGGGCAAACTGGGTTTTAGAACTGAGTGATGACTTTCTGCAGGGTGCCCTCGTGGTCTGCACTGGTCTTGTCCATAAAAGCAGAGGATTAGGCATTTCTGAGTGAGGCATTCTTTTTTTTTTAGATGTAAAGATATTTAATGCAACATTCTTCATCATTAAAGTTGACATCTGAGAAAAACCATGCTGATGAATCTATACTCTGAGTGGTAACTTCGAATGTTAATTTTTTGATAGGATGTAAACATACAAACACTTGTAAGAAAAAAGGATTGTTTGTAGAAAGGAAAAGAACAACCCTGCGATCAGTGTAGTGAAGGTATTTTCAGATAGCAGCACTTTTCTAACATCAACCCATCAGCAGATATTACACGCATGTGTATTTGCAGACATGTGTGCATGGGCTGAGTCTGAAAGGTGTGTAAAGCTTTCTTCAGTAGCCCAGTTGCCTTGTGGTGAGTTGAGTATCACAGGTAAGTCGAGTATAACTGAAAGCAGCAGAACAACGAGGTGAACAGCCGGTTCGGTGTCTGGGGTCCCATAGTGAGCTCTGCAGGCACTCCTGCCCTCTCCTTGAGCCAGAGATCCCTGACCCAGGTATCCTTGAGTTACATAAAAGGAAAACCTCACTGGCTAGCTGAAATAAAATTGGCTTTCCCCTAAGGGTTCATCAGGGAGTCTCGTTAAGGGCAGGAAACAAAGTCTAACCAGGCTACATGACCCTGGAACTGGAAAGTTCTCCCAGCTCCTCCTGGGTCCTCAAGGTTTCTCGGCACTGCTTGCTTGGTGAGTTACTCCCATTCACTGCCCCTCTCCAGGGTCCTGCTTTATGTGCTCATGCAAAACCAGCTCCAGGTACCTCGTGACTTGGGGTCTGGCTTCAGCTGTGCCTTTCTCTGATGCTTTCAGGTAATGCACCCTCTTTCACCTTACAGTTAGTTTCAGGCTCTATGTTCTTGGCTCACGAGAAAGAGGGGAAGGGGCATGAGGAGGCCAGTGGCCACCTGGAACAAACAGCAGCCAGAGCCTCCAAGAATGTGGGGTGGGAGATAGCAATTGGCCAGCCGATCACACTTGTCTTCACAAGTGTTTTGATTACAGGGTCTATAATTCTGCAAACTTTACTATGCCTATGAGTTGAGAGCCCATGCCTCTAAAGGTACTTGGATCATCTTGCCCAAGGAAGCCGTGTAAATTTCTGACCCGATGGCGAACAGCTGTGCCTCTGGATGGCCAGGTCGCTTTGGCAGAGTGGCAAGTGCAGCTGTGTTGCAGACCACAGAGGGAGCTGGCTGTTGTCTCACTGGTTCTCAGGCTTCCCTTTTCCTGTGGGTACACTGATCATCAACACTACATGGTAGCATTCAGAAACACTTAGATAGGAGTCAAAAATAGATGGGCGTATGTGAAGGATATCACTCTGAAATATACTTTGGAATAAGTTCTGCAGTTTAGACACATTTTAACATTTTCCAGATCTTCAACTCTGTCAACATAGCAGGGACTAGATCTACAATGAGGAGAGGGAAATACGTAAGTGTTATAGACCTACTACTTTAATCCTTTTTGGAATTCTACTTTACCGTTGGCGGAAGATAAACTGCTTTTTAAAATCCCAAAGCTTCCTGGAGCAGGCCAGCACAGCAGAGATGTTTGATTTGCTGCTGCCCTTGAGGGGACTCAGGGTGAACCAGGAATGACGCTGTTGCCTGGGGCATAAAAATGCCCAGAAAAACTCCTGTTTGTAGACCTTGCCCTTCAGAACCAGCAGAGGAGGAGAAAATACAGCATCTGTCCAACAAAAGCCATCCTCGATCGGAAAGATACCTGCCAGGCACTGTTCAGTCATTTTTCTTGCCAGTATCATTGTGTTGAAGGTTACAAAAACTAAGAAATTTTAATGCTATTATAATTAGGTATGTAGTTATTGTAGTACTTTTCTCCAAAAGCCACTAAAATGAACTCAGGCTCAGAGTTTCTTAGAAACTTTTCTAGTACCTGGTTTTCAAAACAGCTCATGACCTGTGATTTTCACAACCACCAGTAATATAATTCAGGTGATACCCCATTTTACAAATGAGAAAACTCAAGCATGTGATTTAAAACATATATCTTTAACATACCCTATTTGATAAAAAGCTAAATTCTGGATTTCTCGACTCCTTCCTCACTTTATTGCTCCTTTAGAAGTGAACACTGATAGCCCTCACCTGCCTGGCTCAGTTGGTTGGGTGTCACCTGCAAATCAAAAGGTCATCGGTCCCATTTCCAGCCAGGGTGATACATGGAAATCTGGACAGGTTGCTGGGCAGGGGAGAGACCCAGGGGGAGGCCCTGAGGTAGAGCAGGAGAGGCTCAGTCCCCCGGGTGAACGGGAAACAAGCTAGCCAAGACAGTGCTGCAGGGTCATGTTGCCCCAGCAACCAAACTCCTATAGTATGTGACAGATTTTCCTACCCCACTTCCCCCTCTGAACCTGGAGAGAAGGGGTCCCCGCCTAGAGTCTGTGCAAGGCTAGAGCATGGTGGAGGAAGGGAAGAGCCTTCCTACCCCCTTCCAGTTTCTGATTGAAGGAGAAGCCAGGGGTCACAGAGCTATGTGTACTTGAAGGTTAACATTGCAACAGGGGGAGGTGTTGACCTGCTGGTCAGGCCTGGAGAAGGATAGGATTGGCTGAGGAAGCTGGACCTTTCCAGAGTGCACAGAAGATTGGACCAGGAGATTTAAAGGGAAGGAGGACAGAGACTCAGCCCTTCTCTTCCTCTGGGATCAGTGAACTGATACACGGCCAAGGGCTCCTGGGCAGGAGGGACGGGGGTAGTCTGGGTGCCTCCCTGTGGAAGGAGCCCCTGCATGACCGGCTGCAGCAGTTGACGGCAGCCTGGCTCCCAGAGTGGGGCGGTGGCAGTCCCAGCCCCACATGCATAGACTCCAGAGGGTCAGCATGAAGCTGGAAAGCCATCCACTCAGCAGCCTTGAGCTCTGAAGGACAGTTAAAAATGGGCCAGGATCTCTGGGCCTGGTTTGGGGTTTCATCTATTTTGGAAGCAAAGGGCATTTTTCTGTACTTTGCTGAAAAGAGAAGCCTGGAGCTGGGGAGTCTCCTGCTTCCCCAAATTGTGCAACATTTTCATAAAGACCTTTTCCTTCTCCACCAATCTTTATCTCATGCTAGTGTTCGGCAGTGGGCATCTGAACCCCACCTTTGTGCAGTCACAAGGGCACATGCCTGAGTTGCAGGTTCAGTCCCCGATAAGGGCGTTAGGGCACAGAAGCAACAATGATCGATGTTTCTCTCCCTCTCTTTCTCCCTCCCTTCCCCTTGCTCTAAAAATCAGTAAATAAAATCTTTAAAAATAGATCTGTTCATAAAGAGTCAAATTTATCTATTTAGATTGCTTAGTATATGCCAGTTCTTTTTAAAGCATTTTCAATACACAGATGGAAGTATTAACTTTTGACATAAGAAACATCTAAACCTGTATGGAATTTTTACAAGAGTTTATCTGAGCCAAAATGAGGACATATTCCTGGTACCAAGATCTCAAAAGTTCTTTCTCTGGTGGAAGATGGTGCCCTGAAGGGTCTGGGAAAAGGGATTACTTGACATCCAAAGGTATGTTATCTTAGAGGCCAAAAGACAATAAGCTCAGTTCAGGTAAAAATGGACCTTTGTCAGGAAACCCTCAGGCCTAGGATATGACTGTCTGCCGTGACTCACTTTCAGTTAAGTTTTCATTTCTGAGCCTCCTATGTGGTTGCTTTCGGTCCTTGAGTTTTTAAGGCCTCCATGCAGGCCTCCCCTAAGCTTGTCAGGTTTAGTATGTAGCCAGTTTTTATTCGCATCTCTAAGGCTCTGTGCACATGGCTTTGTGCTGCCTTTCTGACATGGAATGCTGTTACTGCAATTCTCCAGACACGAACCAGCCTCACAGCCTTTTTTCACTTGCTGTGCAAGAGTGTTGTAGAGTGCTTTTCTCCTGAAGGCAGTCACTCCTCATCCTCTTCCAGATGTTGCTCAAAGACACTCCTCCTCTCAGAGGAGTCTACTCTAACTTATTCAAAATTGCAAAACATTTCTTTCCTTATCCAATTCTCCATAGCATTTTCACCACCTAAAATACGGCAACATTTACTCATGTGTTTTGCTATCACAGATGGTAACCAACCGAGAGTGAGGGAAATCTGGAATGGACAGGAAAGGAGAGATGAGGACGGCTAGTAAGGCAGGACAAGTGGAACAGCGAAACTGAGATGGATAGATAGCCAAGCAGTTTACAGCCCGTCCATAAATCACAAAGTTCTGTCCTCTTTAACCTAGGACACTTAAGAGTAATTGGCTTACGCGTCTCCTCCCCAGCCAGAGAGTAAATAGCTTAAATCACCCTACTCTGGGATATAAATAATGGAAATCCAATCGGTGCCATTTGTACCTACCACACCCAAGAACTGGTGAAGTCTGGGAAATAAATCTCATCTTAGTCATTAGCATCAACCTGATGAATATTCTATTGAGACCCTCCCCTAAGACTTCCCTTACAATTCCCACCTTCAGAAGATAAGTAAGAACCCTCAAGACAAAGGCACAGCAGACTCTGGAACACACTCATGACTTTCTTCCCTCTCAGTAGTGCTCCTTCACTTTTTCACCTAATCTCTAAGGGTCCCCAAGACTTGCAACCAGGGGAGCAGAGACCAGCAGCAGCTTGTTCTGGGCTAAACCCCTGAACCTGTCTCCAAGGGCCCCCTTTTGTCTGACTTTCCAGTGAGGTAAAAGCAGCCCCACCTTAGCACACTTCTGTTCCTGTGACTTCTCAATGAGTTCCTGCACCCTAGCATGGCTAACTTCTCTATGCCGTTTCCAGAGCCAAAGCAGCTCTGCCTAGGCTCTTCCCTGTTGCTTCTTCCACCCCAGGCCCTTCCTCGTTTCACTGTCCCCAGCTTGAATAAACATACTGTCGAAATCACTGGACTCATGTTGTGAAATCTTTCCTGCACAAAGTCAAGCACCTGAAACCGGAAAAGTCAGTGTTTGTGCCGCCTGTCACTACCAGAACCAGTGCGTAGAGACAAGGATTGAGTCAGTGATCTAAGAAGACTGGGCGTGTACCCTAAAAAAAACCCCAACATCTCCTCAAGCCGATATTTTCGTAAAGAGAAGAAGAGGGTAAGTAAGGGGTTTGGGGGAAAAAAAGTTGCAGTCCAGTGGTGATTTTCGTATACTTTTTTTTTTACTGATCAATAATTCTTTATCTGATGTTCCCTCCCTGGAATGCGATGGCTCAGATACCATCTTAATCGCTTGCAGATCTCCCAGGGCATGAAGGTTGAGCTGCTTTTGGACCTTCTGGAGTCCTGTAGGCCTTGCTTTCCAGTTCCTGGAATAATAGCTTCCACATGCATTAATCACTTAAGCCCATCAACTATAACTGAAGCTAAAATCTTTTAACTCTTAAATTCCCGCATGCTACATGCCAACCCACAGTAGACCCACTCCAGGCCTGGTCCCCATTCAGTAAAAGAAAGACCATGAGTATCCGTTGCTGCCTGGAGCTTAGCTGCTGTGGTGAGGGCGGGCTCGTACCATATCTGGCACAACAGCTGCAGCTGGCACTGCCAGTGGATGGAACTTGGGGTGCCCTGCTGACATCTTCCATGATCTAATATTTGTAGAAGCCAGACTGATAAATGAAGATTTGATGGGATCCTCACTCTGCTTTCTTTAGGTCCTTAGGGTAACACTGGTTCCCGCTCTCTGCTTCAGGTGTTTGTAATTCGCAGTCTTGCCCAGAGGAGGGATATAGGGCAGCTTCGGAAGCTCCCACCGGTCCTTTTCACTGTGATAGCTTTTATTCACAGGCCAAGGAATCGACATGGTTTGTGTGGCCAACTTCCAAGTATTGTCTATTTTTATTACACATTCAGGAACTGGGGACAAAACCCCTGGGTTGGTCCCTGGACCGACTAGAGCCACTGTGAAGTGGACCTGGGCCAGGAATCCATTTATTACCTGGCCCCTGTCCACTTTACCAGAGGGACCACAGTTTGTATAATGCCAGGTATTGTGGATGAATAAAACAGTTCTATGGAAAGTAACCTCACAGGATGATAAAATCATCAGTTCCTAACTAGGCAGGTTATGGTGGTTGGCACGCCCCAGACATAAGTTCTTTAGTAAAAGGCTTCTATTTGCCTTAAGCAAGCCCTGTGTCTCTGTGCATCTAGGGCAGCAGACCTCTGAAATACCAGAAGTAATACCCTTTGAAGGGGCATTAACCCTCAAGAGAGAATATAATCTTAACTGCCCTGAAATCCAATGCCCACCTTGTTTTCAATCTTCCTTACACCCCCTCCTTAATTTCAAGTGCATGAAAAAGGGTGGGAGATGGGGGGAGAGTGGTGGTGGGAAAATGGAGACAACTGTGCATGAACAACAGTTAAATCCTCAGGAAGGACAAATACATTTACTGCATATATTGAAAAACACCCGTGTGTAAGGGGGGCGCGTTCAGTTCAAACCTGTGTTGTTCAAGGGTCAGCTGTATTTATAAGTTTCCTGATGCTTAGCAGATTTATGCCTGCAAATGAAAATAGTGTCTTTTTAATTTCTAAAAAAAAAAAAGCTGTAAAGCTGTTATTGCCTGAAGCATTTGAGATCCTGCTCCCTGGCACATGCCATCAGTTGGCTAAAATAAACTCTTATAAAAATTCTCCACAAGTTTGGACATTTTGTACATTGACAGTATCACTGCCAACTTAGAGCTTATGTCCAGCAGTCTTCAAAATGCTGATTTTTTCCTTTTCCCCAGGGTACAATTACCCAAGTAAGTAACTTCTGGAGAGGGACTGGGGCAGTTCTTGTCAAGGCACTGCAGGCCTCTCGGAGGGACTGGTGATTCCTTTCATTGTGGTCTCTGATTCTCAAAATTCGCTCAGGTCCAGAGCTGTTCAAAGAATTCTGACCTTTTATTGGCACAGCTGCCTCAGCCTCCTCATGTTCCTTTCTCTTTACAGCACAGATCTGTGCATCAGAATCACTCAGATCTTCTTGTTAAAATGCAAATTACTAATCCCTATGCCCAGAGTTTTTTAACTGAGTAGGTTTGGGTTGGGGCCAGAGGATCGGTATTTCTAGCAGTTTTCCGGATAATGCCGATTGCTGCTGCTGGTCCGGAGGACCACACTTTGAGAACACTGATCTAGGTTGACCTTGTGTGTAGGGACTCCAGCCATTTCCACAGTCTCCCTTCCAGCTGCTCTGAACTTGTTCAGCAAGATATTTGCTCCCATCTTACTTCTGACAGTTCAGCATTGACATTGGACCTCTAGTATTCTGGGGTCTTCTCTCTCCACGCTGATCAATCATAGGATGTAGGCTGCCTCTGGCGATAGGGCCTGCCCTTGGACTAGGGCTCTGGGCAGCTGACAGCAATCTCTGGGGACCAGGATTCAGCTGTGAGCTGTCAGCCATCAACACTTGGCAGCTGGGAAATGTGGGCGGTGCCCTTCAGACCCTACCATGCATCTGCCAGCATCTGTCTCATGCCTCGGACAAGAATGAGGTAAATTTTGCTTCAGGCACAAAAATGTTAATAAACAAAATATTTCGATGCAATATTTTAAAACATCAAAATGCAAAAACAATCCTTGGTGAGCAAAATATCAAAATATTGGACAAAGGCAGGATCCGTGTCACTAATTTCCCTCAGTTCCAACATGGTTTAGCCTGGCGTCTACCTCCACTGGACTGCAAGGTGGCTGAGCGCTCGGGTTTCGTCTCCTTCGCTCACTGAAATACCCTCAGTGGTTAAAGGGGCATCTGGAACCTAGTCTACGCTCAATAACTATTTGTCGAATGAGACTTCCGAGACA